TTCTTTCGGAATCCGCGTACGATCCTTTTGTATCTATTTGGAGTTAGAGAAGAAATGTGAATTTGTGACCGGTGCCACTTTGGTTAATTTTGTTGATTTGACGAAGCTAGGAATCTAAAGTAAAACCTAAGGGTGTTCATATCACATTCAATCGATTGATCTCATACAAATAGAACTAATCTAATAAAAAACTAAACTAAACCAATATAAAATTGTGTTGGTTTGTGTTATATCCTAAATTGAGTTCTATGAGAATTAGGACACGTGGAGACATCCTAAAAATAGTCCTATCAAGATTAAATAGATTAAATTCCACTAAAATTAAAACACCCAAATACCAATCAAATAGAGTTGTATTCCTATAATAACTTTATGTAAATATCTTATAAATACCTCAAGGATCAACCTAAGGAGATATTATTTTTCTTTACTTTCTTTCCATTGTAAACTCTCTCTACTCTTTATCAATAAAATTCTTGGTTCCACACCATCTTTTCTATTTTGTAGTGTTAATATTTGGCGCCCATTGTGGGGCCAAGTTCTTGTTCCCCCATGAATACTATAGGGCGAATTTGGGAAACTCATTAACACCTCCCAACAACACTCAAATTTTTGGAAATAACATCACCTTTTCTTCATCAAGAACAAATTCCAATGACACCGTTGGCAGATCTAAACCAGAAGCTCTGTCAATAACATCACAGGTGCGAAGGCTTACGTAGGATATGGAGGAAACAAGGCAAAGCTTAAGGGCAATCAAAAAGGCCATAGCATCCTTCACGAACACAGTAAATACTCCGACACAGAATCTAACGAGACAGGAGAGAAAGCAGGGGATTTCATCATCCGAAAACACAAGGCAGTATCTTAAAGGAGCAAAGATTCAATGCGTGAAAATAGTAATTATGATGATGAAAGTTACGCACCTTCAAGACCAACTGAATTGACTATTGATACAAGTTTGCAACCATCCTCGGCTTTTACTAAATATAATTTTCGAAATAGAAGCGTGATACTTGGCTCGAAGGTAAGCAGAAGAATAGCTACGCAGCAAATATACAGGGCACCCATTACACCAGCACAATTAGTAAAAAAAGATGCATAGTTTCATAATAATGATATCTATAGAGAAATAGAGACATTATGCCAATATATATTGAAGGTTGAAGCAGGAAGACAGAGACAGCTAGAATTGACATACACAGCTTCAGTAGAAAAAGCTTTTGCAGAAGAAATCATCAAAGAGCTTGTACCGGTAAATTTTAAAACTCCACAATTAGCAGAGTATGATGGGACATAGGATCTAGTTGAGCACGTACAAGGATTTAGGATGGTAATGATGGTTCATGGAGCTTTTGATGCTCTGTTATGCAAACAATTTCCTATGACCTTCAAGAAAGCAGCAGATGCTTGGTTTGCAACACTGCCTGAAAGATCTATCCGGACTTTCGATCAATTCACGAACATGTTCATTAATCATTTTACGGCTAGTAGGATTCCCCGGAAAACCAATCATCACTTGCTGACAATCAAACAAAAAACAGATGAATCATTAAAAGCCTACATAGCAAGATTCCATAATGAAGCTGTACAAGTGGAAAAGCTAGACCAAAGTGTAGCAATGCATGCTTGATGGATGACCTAAAAGATTCAAGCTTTTATAAGTCTTTAAATATACGAGAACCAACTAGCTTTAATGATTTATTAAGAAGAGCGGAATGGTACATTACAGTAGAATAAAAAGTAGCAGTAGTCAAAGAAGCGCAATAAAAAAAATTGAAAAATCAGAAGAAAATCGAAAGAGAAAAATAGAAAAGGAAGAGATTGAAGGGATGTATCACAAATACAACTAGCAAACTACCATAGGAAAGTAGAAAAATATTGTAATCATAGAGTAAAACCCAAAAACCTGTGCAAAGGAGATTGGGTATTGTGAAAGACAAAGGTTTTAAAAAAAGGGGGGGGGGTGCTGTGCCTAAACTAAGAAGGTCCATACCTTTGTAAAGAAAGTTTGAGAAACGAAGCTTTCAAGCCTAATCATCCCAATGAAACCTTAGTTCCAAGGACCTAAAATGTTGCACACCTTAAAAGCAAAGATTCATTTTGCATTGCTAAAAAGCACTTCCAAGTGGTACACAGCTTTAAGAATAAGGTCTTGGCTGTACACATCATTGTTCACTTCTATGCAACATATAGCTTTAGCATCACCTTTAAGTGAATCAAAGCTTTAAACACCAAACATGGTGAAATATGAACATGCGAAACTATGGAGCTATTCTTAAAGCTCTAAAATTCGGATAAGGTTAGTTAACTCAAAATTTTGAGAAAAAACTAATTAAAATATGCTTAAGCAAACTAAAAGTTACACGCAAGCTAGGGTGTAAATAAACACCTGAGCAAAAAATACGTAAGCGAGGCTATACTAAAAGCTATAGGCAAGGTAGGGTGTATATAAATACTTGAGCAAAAGCTATGCAAGC